GGCGCCGGAGGGGGAGGCGTGGTTTGTCGAGGGGAGGATGCGGAACTCTACGCCAGCGATCTTGAGGAACGTCTGCGGTTCGACGGCGAGGTGCGTTAGCTGAAAGATACTACGGCGCATTGGGGAGCGGGGGTGAGGGGGAAGGTGTCGACGGACCTGCCACTTTAGACACGAGGGGTTGAAGCTCGGCCGGCCCCTCGGGGCATCGTCGTCGGCGACGAAGACGTAGAGGGTCGGGAGGTCGCCGCGGGATGGGGACCGGAGGGGGAGGTCGTTGGCGGGATATACGGCCAGGGGGAAGCGGCGAAAGAGGGCGGCGACCGGGGCGGGGACGGCGAACCAGCTCCTCGAAGTGTGGTCCGGCATGGCTGCGGTCCCGCGCGTTCCGTATGTAAGTGGCGGCCCGCGAGACCGGGGAGGGAGAGAGAGAGATGGGACCTCGGAGGCGGAGGGGAGGGGGGGATTCCCGGACAGCCCGAGGTATGCGGAGCTGATGGACGGAGGTAGGCGGTGTCGTGCAGGGTAGTCGGTCGGGAAGAGGGGGTGGGCTTTGTTCCTTTGCTGTTGGACGTTGAGGGGTGGGCGGGCGTGCGGCAATTGTGTGGTGGTGCGTCGTGTTGCGATGGTGGTGGGCTTTGCGTTTTCCTTGGTGGTCCGTGAAGAAAGGAGGAGCGGAACGGAATGCCTCGGCCACACAGAGCGGTGCGTTCAAGGTCAGGGCTCGAAAGGGGACCGCAGCTCGTGGTTGGTCGGTTAGTTGGGTTTGGTTGGTTTTCTCGTCGGAGCTTTCGGTGGAGAACCGCGATTGTTCGTCGTGTTGCAGCGGAAGCAGTTCACCACCACCACCACCACCACTCCCCCCAACCAGTAAAAAGGGAAAGAGGGTTTGATAGACTCTCGCTGCGATGCGCTGCTTTCTACACCGCCTATCCGTTGCTCTCGGAGTAATCTGCCGCGTCTCCTATGCGAGATAAGGGTCCCCTCGGACTGTCGTCTTCTTCTCGGCGCATACGGATGTGTGCACAGGGGGGGGAGGGAGATGGGATCTGATTGGGTGGAACGGGGTGAGAGTCGTGCGATTGGCATGAAGTTTTTCACCTTCCCCCCTTGGAGGCCATCCATGCAAGGAATGCAGAACGGTGGTTTTCCGGGTTGGATTAGAGCCGCCGGATTGCTGTACCTCATACACGGTGCAGTATCCGTATGCTCGCTCGCTACCTGGCTGGGCGGGCTTGCGGCGCTGTAGATGGACCCTGGATTTTTTCCTAGTCCCCTGTCTCGTATGTGCGTGTTTTTTCTTCTTCTTCCTTCTTTCTAGTATCCGGTTTGATTTCCTCCCCTTTCTCCATGTCTATTGCTCCCGAACACAACAAAATTGGATAAAATAAGAATAATAATAAAAATCATAATAATAATAATAATAATAATAATCATACAGAGATAAATGATATAAAGGTGTGATGATCACATTGTAAATAATAAAATTTTTATAAATATTATATCAATTATAAATAATAACATAA